ATCTGCCGTAGCTGGTGAACTGCTGGAGGACTCTGACAGCTTGACAATGTCGGTGTCCGCTTGGTCATCTGGGTCGATCGCGCCTGTACTCGCAGGCGGCGCAGGAGGTGGCGGCACGAAGCCTGCGACTGCTGCTGCTCCTCCTCCTGGCGGCGGCGGCGGCGGCCGCATGATGTCAGCCTCGACCTCAGGTATGACGTCGAACGACACGTTCGGAGACAGTGGCCTACGCCTCGCTGGTGGAGGCGTCTTGGGCACATATGACTGTGTTGTTGGCCTTGGCACATGTCTCACTGGTGGAGCTGGCATTGTTGGTTCAGCTGGTGTCTGTCGGGCAGCAAGCGGAACCTTCGCTGGCAGCTGAGGCTGCTGACCACCTGGTCTTGGAAGATCTCCTTGTTGACGATGGTCATCTTCATCGTCGCCAGCTTCCAACCAAGAGCCTCCAAACGACGTCCATGGTGATGCTGTCCATGGAATGGGAGATGGACCACCAACTCCACTGAGGTCGACTTCGGGCGTGTCCTCGATCTCGTCGTTCGGCTTGTTGTAGCTGAAGTATAGCATGAAGCTCTCGTCCTTCCAAGGGCCTGAAAATGAGAGCGGCAGCGCCTTGTCCGGCACCACATCGCGGATCATGTAGCTCTCTCGGCGACTGTTGTTCCAGGTGATGAGCTGTCCGCGCTGTGCCGCTGAGATGGCATCTGTCCTCTTGCACTTGTTGCCAAACTGAATGCCATCGAACTTCGTGCCGTTGAGAACTCCCGTGAAAACCTTCTGAGCGACCGTCCACAGCGGTGGCGGATTCTGCTCAAGGTCGGGCGGCACGACGATATAGCTGTGGTCCACACTCGAGTAGACTAGGCCGTAGGTGTACGACGAGAAAGCCGCTCCTGTCTCCACCATCTCCATCATCTGCTTGACCGTGTCGTTGAATTCGTGCTGTGTGGCGTAGACCTGGCTGCTATGTGACTTGTGGTGGAGTAGCCACACGAAGCCGATATGCGGGCGCAGGTGCCTGATGGGCACCAGCATGATGTGGCCTCTCCAGTCGACCACGGCTCTTGAACCGTCCTGGTAAACCTTAATCACCTCGCATGGTCCACGCCAGCCAGGGTCATCCTTTGAATCTGGCTCGCGCCAGAGATCTGCCTTCGCGCCGTCGATGATCTTCGCACGGTCCTCGGGCTTGAACTTCTGCATCTTGGTGTTCTGAGCCACCGCCAGTCGGTCCTCGACAATGCTCTGTAGTATCGCCTCCTTGGCCATCATACGGAGGCGGATGGACACCTCGATGGCGTCTGGAGCTGTCTCCAGCGCTCCGGCAGCGGCTGAGATCGTCTTGACCTCTGGGTCATACAGCTCTCTGGGCTGATAGCCCAGCAAGCCCTGGTTGGGCGTGTGGCCGTTGTAGCTGAGCATGCTGTTGGTGGACATCGCAGTCTCGCAGACCACCTGACTCTGCGTCGTGTTCAGGCCCGTCTTCTGGACTGTTGCCCACAACTTCTGAGCCCCCGTACGAATGATCTCAATCCTTCTCTCTGCGATGGGCGCGGCTGTGTGTCCTTGCGATCCGCCGAAGTCGCGGATGATATCAAACTTCTCGCAGCACTTGCCGACGAGGTCGCTCGTGATGGCGCCCTCCTGGTCGGTAACCAAGTAGGTCATCGGGCCGAAGTACCTGATCCAGCTCCTGAAGACCACGGCCATCCACTCGTCGGCGGTCTTGCGCGGAAGCTCTTCCACCAGACACCAGCGAATGCATTCGTCAACTAGCACGATGAAGGTCTTGTCGAAGATGAAGAAGAGGTCCGTCTGGACCCTGTAGTTGAAGTGCTCTGACAACATGGCCTTCACTTGCGGTCGAGTCAACTTGCGCTTCCACTGGCTGCACTCCTTGCAGCACTCAATCACGCCATCGACTAAGTCGAGCACCTCCTTGCCATAGCCAGCCCGGTAGAGCATCTTCTTGAGCTCCATGGCAGCCGCATGCCAAAACTTGACATGGATGCCCATGATGATGGCCTTCTTCTCCTTGACTGAGGCCTTCGGATCTCGAAGCACCTTCTTGGCGGCCTTGAGGTCGAAGCTCGGCTCGATGTACGTTGGCGGTGCCACTGCCTCTGGAGGAGGCTCGATGTCCGCAGCTGGAGCTGCAGCCGCTGCTGCCGCTGCTGGTGCAGCGGGCGCCTCCTCGTGGGCTGGTCCAGGAAGATCTGCTGCTGCCACTGGTGCTGCAGGCGCGGCAGGTGGTGCCGCAGGTGCAGCTGGCGGTGGTGCTGCTGCTGGCTCCACTCCCGGCAAGGGCGGATGAAGCCCTGGCGGTGCTGCTGGCGCACCTCCGCCAGCATCTGGGACACCTCCAGGTGGTATACCCTGACGGTGTGGAGAAAACCTGCATCCTGCCACACGTGTGTGTGGAGCCGTCGGCGTATTGGTGCCGTCGGCCAGCTTCTTGTGTAGGCCGTGCTTGCACCTCTCGCAGTTCCAAAGGTGTGTGTAGAATAGCGAGGATTCGTCGCCGTCCTTGACGACGCCCGTCCGCAGGTAGTCGCGCAAGTCGTGAACGATGGCCGTGACCATCGGCCATGGATAGACAGCCGCCGCAGCTGTCTTGTTGATGCTGGTGCCTGGAAATGAGCCCTGCAGTACTGAGTGCTCACTGCACTTCGAGTCGCCCTGGCACTTGTGCAGGACGCGCTGCAGGGTGATGTTGATCATGTGCAGGAAGGTCGGCTTCTTGACTGGCACTCCAGTTGATGGATCTGATGCCCCAAGCTGACACTGATCGAGATGTCCAAACGTGCCCAGTTGAGCGATCGACTTCAATGGAGAACTTTTGAGAATAACCGAACTCCTTGGATTCTCCAGGACACTGGCTCGTCCCTCTCGATGTACCTTGCGAAGACGTTGAGCAACCCACTGCAGGTTGGGACACTCCGCTTGTCGAGACGCTTGGAGCTTCGTGGCCTCCTTCATGACTGTTGACGCCGACCATGGTGAGCATCGTGGAGACCAGAATTCTGCCAGACTGGCCAGGATCTTGTCGATTTTATCCAAGAGGTCTCGATGCTTCTTCCTGCGAAGATCCCAGCCGTATCTGAAGTCCCGAGGAAAACTGACAGTCAGACCTGACATATATGCGCATAATGAAAGCCTGCCAGAGCCGCTCATGCTCTCCATGAGGTCCAGCTCTGGAATCATCTTGGAAATCTGTTGACACCATTCTTCGGCATTGTCTGGAGTAATGACAATCAGGCCGCTGAAATAGTAGAACTCCTCGGGCATGCATGCATAGTACTTCTCCAGCTGCTGCTTCTCCTTTTCGTCCATACCTTCTGGCCAGAGATCTTGAAAGTAGGTTTGACCAGGTACACTCATCCAGCCAGAAGTGAGGGTCCGATTCTGGCACTGCTTCAGACGTTGAAAACCTTGACGATCTGGAGCAAACAATGCAGCTGCTGCCGGCGACAGTTTTACTTGATGGATGTCATGGTTCACCTGACTGCCTGATGATGATGTTAGCTGCGTCGGAGGATCTTGAACGAGTCCGATACCTGTCCTTTTAGCCTCTTGTCGGCGTGGTGAGTCTCTAACAGCTGCTTCCACGCCTGAGGGTGGCGGACCTTCGATCTCCGACTTGTCGAGGTTGAATGCCCACTCGATGTTTGCCGATACTCCTCGTTGATACTTGTCAAACCAGTGGGCCTTCAGAACTTTCCAGAGATCTCGTTGTTCCTCGGCAATCTCCAATGCAGTCTGTTCGAACCTGTCTGTTGGCAAAAGATAGTGATTAGAGTCGGTGTAGAGAATACGAACCAATGCCACTTGAGGAGGTTCCTGCTTGTACTTGCCGGGAGCTGAAATGATCATGATGCCATCTCGGTTGTCATAGACACCGCAAGCTACCAACGCACTGCAATCCACCATACTTGGTAATGGCATCAAACCAGGACATGATGAGCCCTTGTTGCCGATCAGGTCGGTCGAGAATGTAGCTCCTGGTAGCCCAGGAACTCCGAGAGGCATGGTGCACACGCGCAGTCCCGGTTCGGGTCTGCCTCCGACTCCTGTGAACATGGACGTCGAGGGACCGAAGTGCACCTCGTTCATGATGCCCAGCGGCTCGACGATCTTGTCCAGGTAGACGCGCAGCGTGTCGGTGCCCATCAGGGCTGAGGATGCTCCTGTATCCACTAGGAGTCCCAGCCTTTCCACACCTCGAACCACATGCATGGTGCCGAACGTCTCGTTGCTCGCCGGGTAGTTGTACGCCATGTTGATCGTCGCCATCGTCATGAAGATCGACTTCTTGAGCAGCGGGCCTGCCACAGGTCGAGCTGCTCCCGATGCTGACGACGTATCAGGCGTCGTTGCTGATTAATCAGAGGGGAAATTGAAAACCGTAGTCTGCTCGGTGGGCGTAACAACTGCCGCATCCGCGTCGAACTTGGTGCCCAGCTGGACGGTCTGCTTAACTGGAAGCGTGATCTTCGGTCCAGCTGCAATCGATGCCGATGGCGAGCCCAGGGTAAAGAGTTCTGGCTTGGGAGCTGTCACGTCTCCATCGCATGTGGTCGTGATGCCATGAGTGAACCAACTGCTCTCTCCATCATATTCGTCATATTGCCATGATAAGTCGTCCTCGTAGTAGCTACTGTTCTTGCCGTTCCTCTTGCCCTTGCCGTTGCTGGTACTCCTCCACGGCTTGCCGAAACCTTTGCCACTCGAGCGGCTGTCCTTGCCGTTCTTGTTGGACTTGGACTTGCTGCGATACTTGCCTTTGTTGTTGCTGCGGTACTTGCCCTTCTTGCCGTAGTAGTCACCTGTCTTGGAAGGCGAACTCGACGAAGATTTGACGATCGGGCAGTCCACGCTCGAGTGCAGTGGAGAGCCGCAGGTCGTGCATCCGTCTGACGATGATGCTTTGCCTCCACTCTTGCGGCCTCCTCGTCGTTTCTTGCCGCCACGGCCTCGGCCTTTGCCACGGCCTTGGCCACCTCCGCCGTAGTAGTCCTCCTCAGTGTATTCCTCGTACTCCTCGTCATAGGTGCCGTGCTCCTCGTCGTGACTGGTCTCCCAGTCCGCGCCGTCGTCGTACCACGTTCCGTCCTGCCATTCGTCCTCGCCGTAGCCGACCCACATCCATGATCCGTCTGAAGCCCATGTCTCAGGAGAGTCGTAATCCGACTCCCAGTAGGTACCTTCGTCTGTCCAGTACTGTGAGACCATGGCTGGAATCGAAGATGTCGTGCCTTGATACTCGTGATTAGCCATTCTCTGCATCAAGGCAATGAGCTCGGGGAAACGATTGAGGTCTCCTTGAATCTGCATACGTAGGTCGGTCCGCATCTTTTCTGATAAGCCTGACATCTGGAGCAGGAGGAAACTCTTACCGACGTTGTTGAGCTGCAGGCCTCCTTTGTCTGAGGCCTCCTCGAAGCACAGGCGAAACATCGTGAGGAAGTCATTCATCGGAAGATGGCCTCTGGTGAGTGAGAAGAAACTTGACAAAGCCACGATTGACATATCTTGATATTGAACCTCGAACTCTTGAACAAGAATGTCCATCAGGATCGAGGCTCCAGCTGGCTCCGCGGGGTGTTGGACGCCTTCAGAGTCTTGCCATTCTGGATGTGAAGGCTGAGCTAGCAGTTCGTCTCCTTCCATATCACGTCGCTTTCCTACAGTGAGGTCCAGTCTATCGCGCTTCATCTTCATAGCTATCTGGAACGCCGAACCTCTGAGACGTCCTGCCATTGCTGGGCCAGCTGCGTGCTCTGGCAGATCTGTCTGCCTCCACCATAACCTAAGCAGCTGGATGTAGCGGCGCAGCGGGTACTTGCCGTTGCCTGGCCGCCATCCTGGTGGCGTGTTCCTGTTGAACGTGTCGAGAGGGATACCGCCACCGCTGCCTGCAGTGTCTCCGTAGTCCATGGCTAAGTGCGTCCACTTGCCGTGCCGGGTGTCTGTGATGAGGGTGAGTGAAACTGCAGCTGCAAGGATGTGTACGATGAGCTTGCTCGCGTACGTGTGCTGCTGCTGGGACATGTAAAGGCTCTCTCGTCGCAATCGACACTGTGCCGGAACCAGTCGGCGAAGCTGAGGGCAGAGAGACGGCGAGTCTCAAAGGAGCTGCCACCACATCAGCGCTACCAAAGTTAGTTTTCCAGCGTGAGCTGTCGAACCATTGATGGCTTGAGCCATACCGTTTACGGATAGTCGAATAAACATTCAAACATATCTCAAACATCTCTGATGGTTCTGAAGCCTCTTACCCCGAACTCATACACACAATCTAACTGGGGGAGGAGGGGGAGGAGGAGGAGGAGGAGGAGGAGGAAAGAGGGGAGGAGGAGGAGGGAGAAGGGAGGGGGGAGGAGGGGGGAGGAGGGAGGAGGGAGGGAGGGGAGGAGGCGGGAGGAGCGAGGAAGGAGGGGGAGGAGGGAGGCGGGAAGGAGGGGGAGGAAGGAGGGGGAGGAGGGGGAGGAGGGGGAGGAGGAGGAAGAGAGGAGGAGGGAGGAGGGAGGAGGGGGGCGCGGGGCGCTGCCTCTTCAAGGCGAGGACCCAGCACCGCAGGATGGCTGGGCAGAGTCCAGAGATCGTCCCCAGGATCTCCCGGTGGAGGGGCCTGCCCGACTCAATCCGACATGCCCGAGATGACCCCTCCTCAGAGGGGCTCCCGCCCTCGGGCGCCGCGGCGGCTCCGGCGCGCCGGCGCCGCGGAGACCCACGGATCGGAGGGAGCGCGCCTGTCGAAGCATGGCCCCGGAGCCGCCCGCAGACGGCGACGGAGCGCGCCGACGTGTCGTCTGGAAGCGGGCCCCGCCGCTGATCCACGCGCCTGGTCCACGTCTGCACTGGGTCGATCCTGGAGGCCGCCCAAGCAAGGTCCGACCGGATGGGGTCGGGGGGGGGCGCAGCACATGGGCGACACGCAGCCGATGCATAGGCGATGCATCGGCGACGCGAGCGACGCGAGCGATGCGTCGGCCACGTCGGCGTGGAGAACATCGGGCTCCTCATCGAGCCGCATCGCCAATGCATCGGCGATGCGACGCGATCCACCGACCCCATCTACTCGGACCCCACGTGGGAGGCCAGGAGATCCTCCACACCTCCGGTCGGCGACTCGTTCTGCCTGAGATGCATCCCCCTCTTGCTCCTCGGCCCTCTTCTCATGGCACGGAAAGGCGGTCTCTCGACGCCAGGCCGCGCGACCTCCATGCCTGCGACGATTCGAAGAGCGTCCCGGTAAACCCGCGCGCTGCCGCGACGCTCGTCGGAATCGTGGCGGCAAACCCGCCGCCAGCCAGCGCACAAGTTCCTTATCCTCCGATCAAGATTGCGATTATTAATCTTATGACTAGTATTACGCAGCGTGAGCATTCGTATTATCATTACAAATATGATTAGCTTCTTTTCTTAATACTACAAATATTATTCGTAGTATTATTAAGAGTAGCATTAGCATTCGCATTCGCATTCGTATTCGTATTCGTTTTCGTTGCCTTCCTATTATTATTCTTCCTCCCCCTCCCCCTCCACCTCCTCCACCACCTCCTCCTCCTCCTACACATCCTCCTCCTCCCCCTCCTCCCCCTACTGCTCCTCCTCCCTCTCCCCCTCCCTTCTCATGCACCGTCACCTCTTCCACCTGTTCCCTCCTCCTTTGCTTTCCCCGACTGCTCCGTCACCTCTCCTCCTCCGCCTCCTCCTCCTTGTCTTCCTCCTCCTCCTTGTCTTCCTCCTCCTCATCCTCCTCTTCTTCCTCATCGTCCTTCTCATCACTGGGCCTAGTGTGACAACAATGCAAGAGAATGCAGATGGGGACCAGAAGAAGAAACTTGGGACGGGAGGGTATTGCGGCATCGTTGATACATCTTAGTTTCACTCGGGTCCTCAACATCATAAACAATCATCACCACTTCAGTCAGCCCCAGCATCGCCATCATCATCAATAACATCATTATCAGCCGCCGCATCATCAGCATGACCGTCATCCTTATTACCTGCAGCGCTCTATTAATCCATATCATCAACGTCATAATTGCCAATCGTTCCTCTTCCTTCTCCACCCTCCTCATCCTCATCATCACTGGTTATCATCCCTCTCCTCCGCCGCCGAATCATCATCCTCCTCATGCTCACCTCACCATCGTCGATCATATCATCACCAACATCATCATCATTGTCATCAGCGTCATGATCATCAGCAGCGTCGTCAGCATCCTCATCATCATCTCATCATCATCAGCATCATCAGCGTCAGCATCACCATCATCATCATCAGCATCATCATCATCATCATCATCAGCAGCATCAGCATCAGCATCAGCATCAGCATCAGCATCAGCATCATCACCATCATCATCATCATCCTCATCATCATCTTAACCATCATCATGATCATCATCATCATCACGGATGGAAGGCGGGCCGTTTGCAAGATCTGGCTCTCGCTTTGGCGCCGCGCATATTCGTGCCAAAAGTTTGCAACAGCTTCATGGATGGAGGGCAAGTAGTTTTCAACATGTGGCTCTCGCCTGAGCGCCGAGCTCAGTCGCGCTAAAAGTTTGCGAGCGCTTCACAGATGGAGAGAGGTTCCCTTTCAGAATGTGGCTCTCGACTTCGAGCCGCGCACATTCGTGTTCAAGGTGAGCAACAACTTCAAGGATTCGTATGGTTGAAGTCCAGAAAGAAAGCTTGATTGTAGGTCTTTGATTATCAGGACGCAAAAGTCACGTTGGATCGCGGTGATAAGTAATAGAAATGATGTCCTGACACGCTTCAAGATCGCCGGAACGCAACAGTCACAACAATTCGCAGCGTTGCCGTCCCAGGAATGGCGCCCGGGCACGACTGAGGATACTCAGACGATGGCCTTCAAGTGGAGCGCTTCCAGCAATGAACCACCTTCTTCCCAAAACCTATGAAGAGGAAACTTGGACGGATGTATTACAGCATCGCTGATGCGTGTACTGTTTGCACTGGTCCTCCTCCCCCTTCCAATGATGATAAGCATCATCATCATCAGCATCATCAGCATCATCATCAGTATCATCATCATCATCATCATCATCATCATCATCATCATCATCATCATCATCATCATCATCATCAGCATCATCATCATCATCATCATCATCATCATCATCATCATCATCATCATCATCATCATCATCATCATCATCATCATCATCATCATCATCATCATCATCATCATCATCAGCATCAGCATCAGCATCAGCATCAGCATCATCATCATCATCATCATCATCATCATCATCATCATCCTCATCATCATGATCATCACCATCCTCATCATCATCATCATCACCAGCATCATCATCAGTATCATCATTATGGTTACCACCATCAACACCACCACCACCATCATCATCACCACCATCATCATCATGCTCATGGTGATCATCCTCCTAATCATCCGCCTTCTGACCTCCTCCTCGTCTCATCATCATCATCATCACCACCAGCAGCATCAGCATCCGCATTAGCATCAGCATCAGCATCAGCGTCATCATCGTCGCCCTCGTCATAATAATAATAATCATTATCATCATCATCATCATCATCATCATCATCATCACCATCGTCAACAGCATCATCATCAGCATCAGCATCAGCATCAGCATCATCATCATCCTCCTGATCGTCGACATCAGAAACATCCTCACGAACGTGATGATGGAGATCATGATCACAGTCTCCATCCAAATCACCATCACCATCATCATCAGCAGCATCACCATCATCATCGTCACCATCAACAGCACCATCGTTGTCATGACCATCATCATCAGCAGCATCGTCTTCAACATCATCGTCATCATCATCATCATCATCATCATCATGATCATCATCATCATCCGCATCATCAGCATCGTCGTCATCGTCATCATCTTCATCGTCATCATCAGCATAACCATCATCATCAACGGCATCATCATCATCAGAAGCATCAGCATCCGCATCCGCATCATCATCATCTGCAGCATCATCCTCAGCGGAATCATCTTCCTCATCATCCGCCTCATCCTTCCCCCCCTCAATTCCTTTTCCTAATGACTACTCCCTGTCGCACTCCGAGGCCAGGTTTTTGGGCGGGCCAGGCGTTTTTCTTCTGAGACTTCCTCACCAGTTATGATTTTGAAGCTGAACGGATGGCAATAGCTTAACAGATGGAGGGCGGGTGGTTTTCAAAATGTGGCTCTCGCCTTCGCGCCGCGCACAGTTGTTTTAAAAATTGCAAGAGCTTCACGGATTGAGGGCGGCTGGTTCTCAAAATGCGGCTCTCGCCTTCGCCCAGCGCACATGCTGTTTAAAACTTTGCAGGGTTACACGATTGAGCGCGGTTCCTTTGCAAAATGTGGCTCTCGCCTTAGCGCCGGGTACATTCGTTTTAGAAATTTGCAAGGGCTTCACGGATTGAGGGTGGTTCCTGTTTAAAATGTCGCACTCGCGTAGGGCCGCGCACAGTCGTTTTTTTTGTTAATTGCAAGAGTTTCACGGATTGAAGGCGAATCGTTTTCAAAATGCGGCTCTCGCCTTAGCGACGCGCACATTCGTTGTAACATGTGCAAGGAGCTTCACGGATTGATAGCGAATCGTTTTCAAACTGTGGCTCTCGCCTTAGCGTCGCGCAAATTCGTTTTGAAACTTTGCAAGAGTTTCACGAACTGAGGGCGAGTCGTTTTCAAAATGAGGCTCTCGCTCCAGCGCCGCGCACGTTCGTTTATACAATTTGGCAGAGTTTCACGGATTCCCATGATCAACGTACCAAAACTTGCGTTCTGGAAGGATTCAGGATTAAGCGGGTGCAAGAGTCATCTTGATTCGCGGTGTTGAACTCCCAAACCTGGCGCTCTGGCACGATTCAGGATCGTCAAGACACAGCAGTCAGGTTGATCCGTGGAGTTGAAATCCTGAGAACAGTGTTTTGGCATGCTTCAGGGTCTTCAAACGGTTGTCTTCCAACAAGGCAGTTCCCCCAATGGAAATGAGCCGTTGTAGGGGCCTCCTGACGAGGG